TAACAGATTTTTATTTTTAAAACTCAACCTACAGCTTGCAGCAGCACCAACTTCTTGTCATCATTCTGTTCACAAATGTCAAACAAATGGAAAGACCTTCAGGTTAACATCTAGGTGTTCTGCTTCCTTGATCCTGCAAAACATCCACAAGACACTTAGCCACCACTACCAAAAGGAAAGATCCGAGAATTGCTAGGATTTTTTTCTCAATAACCTTGCATGAAAGGCAGTTGCCTTTCATTGCAAATATAAATTCTGTACAATAGAGTTCTGTATCTAACATGCTGCTGTTTTTACTTAGATTGTCTGACACAGAAAGTATTAGAAATAGCATTTGTTTACCCATAGCAATCATTGAAATGATTAGAGCATCAACACAAACACAACCAAGACAAACCACCTGCTTAAAGCTCGAATAGAAGATTTTTGTGTGCTGCTTATCAACTTGCTCAGGTCAGCTGGACTACATGAAAACAAGAAAAAATGAACCTCCTTTAGCATTAGCAGAGATAAGCAGCGAAAAAGAAATATATCCTGTTTGCTGTGGAACGCTTCATTCCCCGAGTTGCGTTCGGTGTTGCGTTAGAATTGCAAGGTGCGATACGAGAAGCGGCCGGAGGGGGCGCTGCAGCAGGAGCGCGACCACCTTGCTGCTTGCAAAATGGCGGCGGCGGAAATAGGTGGCATTGCTCACGGGAGCGCCATTTTTCCGTACGGAACACGTCTGCCAGGTGCCGCCATTTTGTTGTACGGACAGCTCCTGCGTGCAATCTCTGCGCTAAAAGAAGAAATCTGTGAAGAATTCCTGCGGTACCGCGGACTGTGCGAAGGGAAAGGCTGTCGGTGCTGCCGAGATGCCTGAGGACATCTAAGGACCCGGGCAGACCCCGGCTGCTGCCGCGCGGTCTGTCGGCGTTTGAGAGAAAGCAGGCAGCGAAGGAAGAGTTGGCGCTGGTGCTATGAGCATTAGTGAATCACCGGTTGTGATTTCTGGGTTTGCGTTTGCAACACCCGGTCCGGAACCCGAACCGTGTTCCCGTTCGTTCGGTCCCTGTTCTCCTGCAAGCTCCGTCTGCTCCCGGCTCGTCCCCGCCGGTCTCTTCGAACTTGCTAAAGGCAAAGCTGTGTTTGTTGCGTTTAAAAATTGCCGCGGAGCCGCTGAGCCCGCCCCGCTGGCACTGGGCACCGTCCCACCAGCACCGGGCTGCGCTGTGTCCTTATTTCCGCTGTTTGCGCTGGCTGCGCACTTGGCGTAGCCAATGTGACTGTGCAGCTCCCGGCTGCGCTATTTTCTTACTTCCGCTGTTTGCGGTGGCTGCGCACTTCGCGTAGCTTGATGTGTCTCTGCAGCTCCTGGCTGCGCTGTTTCCTTATTTCCGCTGTTTGCGCTGGCTGCGCACTTTGCGTAGCTTCACGTGTCTCTAGCTCCTGGCTGCGCTGTTTCCTTGTTTGCGCTGGCTGCGCACTTGGCGTAGTTGATGTGTCTGTGCAGCTCCTGGCTGCGCTGTTTCCTTATTTCCGCTGTTTGCGCTGGCTGCGCACTTTGCGTAGCTTCACGTGTCTCTAGCTCCTGGCTGCGTTGTTTCCTTGTTTGCGCTGGCTGCGCACCTGGCGTAGCCGATGTGCCCGTGCAGCTCCTGGCTGCGCAGGTTGCGTACCTTGCGGCTTTCTGCGGTCTCAGCTGGGGTCGCCGCAGGGCGGTGCGCCCGCTCTCGGCCGGTCCCTGTCTATGGGGAGCGCTTCCGCAGGGTCAAAACGTCCCCTGTCCCCAGCTTTTGAGAGGCTAGCCCCCATCCTGGTTCCTTCACAGCTTACCCGACCCTCCGGGTCTGCAGTTCTTGGGTCTGGTCTATGCTGCGACCTTGGAATCGGCTCCTTCCACCTGGGTCTCCGAGTTCCAAACACCGGGATGTTCATCTGAGGAGGAGTTTTCCTGAGTTCTGGTTTTCCTCAAGCGTTCCTGGCACAGTTTCTCATTAGTGAGCTGCCACTTTTACACAGAGGCAGCAGTTATGGGTTTCTCGAGTCGGAGTTGAAGGCGCTGGGGACGGTATTTAACATTCAGACTCAGGTGTTCATTTCTTACCTGAAGTACAGTCTCACCGCTGTGAGCTCGGCAGCTTTTTCATTAGCAAGGCACAGAATGGCTAACTAACTCTTGTTACAAGGTCTGCTAAAACTGAACTATCCAATTAAGAAAAGACACCTAGAGTATTTTCCCTTTTAACCCAGTAACTGATCCCCCAAAACCTGCAATGCGGACTTTTCTGTCCAGTCGCGAAACATCACCCAAACCCATGAAGAAGAAGGTAAAGAAGAACAACCTGCCTCTGCTCTAAAACCTCCACCTTGCTTCATATTTATTTCTATATTGTAAAATCCCAAACTCTTAAGTTTTCCACCCTGTGGTACTATGCACTTTTAACCAACTACACACCTGTAATCCCAGTGCTATTAATCAATTTTAAAAGCCTGTTCCACAACCTCAGGTCAAATGCAATGTTCTCTTGTGGGTCTGTACCTTTAAGCACAGAAAGTTTAACGTTCTCAGCATCCAGGATTCCAACAGACAAATTCTGTGTGTATATATATAACGATATACTTTTGGGTTTTTTTGGTTTATTTGCCACAAAATTTGGAAATTGGACAACCATCTAGTACATTGTGTGTCCTGTTGCCACACAGTTTTTCACATTCTGGGTTACTGCATGGTATTCTCAATAGCCTATGTAGAAATTACTTAGAAAAGATTAATGTATTAGTAGACGTTATTTCTTATAATAGTTTAACACTGGCAAAAGGAAGATAAATGAATCAAAATGTAGTAATTACAATTCCTACTTTCTTTGCTTCTGAAATCTGGACAGAGTGCTACTGACCCAACCATCACCAGCCTGTAGAAGGACTGGATGATAATGAGTTAGTCAAACCAAAAGGATGACTTGCTATCCTGGGTTAATTAAGTGCAAGTCCCTAATGAAACAGTGCCTTTGGCACATCTGTTTTAACATCATCCCAAAAGGTGATGCTGATCTTTATGTCAAACCATTAAGATGTGTGTAAAACACATTCACTTTGTGTTCACAAGTACAGTGTGTACCCCTGGTGAGCAATAGATGAGTCAGGTGTGCTTCATGTCTTTGATTTTCATTTTGTTTACCTTTGTTCATCTTGTATCTGCTATACAGTTCCAATTTTTCAGAGCCGGTTGTCTAATTCAATATTTTTATAGTGGTTAGTACAATAGGCTGTTTATCTTTGGCGAGCTTCAACATAAATTTTCAAACAAAGAACTAAAATAGGTAATTGACTGTGACACTTACTAGAACAACATCCAGCTCTTTGCAAATCATGTTTTCAAAGATAGAATCCGGATTGTTGGATTGTCTCATTCAA